GTGCATAGTTGAGCTGTGTTTTTTAGCAGCCTCAAACTCCCCCTCCTCCAGGCTTTAAAGTATATGTGAACCCTCACCTTGTAAAACAACCCATCCGTTTCAAATAGAAATGAAAAATAAACTTTTTTATAGATATAAAAAACATTTTAAATACCCTTTTCCCCCTTTTTTTTTATAAGTGATCACATACCCTCTATTCTAAGCTGCACGGAGAGCTGGGAGAGGAGAAACTGCAGCACACTGGTTTTCTCCCACGTATGGGATTGACCGGATTGTAGGTCATTTTAGAGGGGCATGTTTTTTGTTCCAATAGTTCACTTGTATATGAAGGTGATTTTTGTATAGTGTCAAATTATTATCACTTCATTATTATTTATGGGAAATATTTTAGGACCCTTTTGGTCCCACAGATCGTGGTATTGCCCATTGTTTTGTGCATTTATGTATTAAGGTCACATATGTTGATGTCATTTTTTGGGCATGTGGGAGTTCACTTCTACCACTTTTAGCCTTCTGCATTTAGGGCGGCTTGCAACCGTTCACTATCTATTGTGATTTTATCACTGACCTTTTCACTCGGTCAGCACTCTTCCCGATTGGTTCTCACTATAAATTTGCACTAGTCTTTGTAAGGCATTATTGGATGTCACTTTCAGACATCTGGGAGCACATTTACTCCTTATGATATTAAAGGAGGTTTTTATTCACATTTTTATTATACACTATATCACACTGACCATTTTTCCTGGTCAGTCCATTGGCGTTTTTTCTCTTTCTTTTTGGTTTCTTTAGTTCTGTAGTACTACATATGTGTGGTTCAATATTTTCACTTGTTTTAACCATTACTGGGTTACACTGTTTATTATGATTCATATATGTGGATGAAGGCAGAGAATTTTTGGGATAGCGCTACACCATTTTGTTTTGAATATACATCGTTTCCATCTGGGCATATAGTCAGGTAATAGCAGCTCCCCTTTTCTTTATTGCACAGGCAGGTAGTACGGGAGGTTCATTCTATATATTTTTTTAGCAGCACACTGGTCTCCCCAGTGAATGGCTCTGCAGAGGGGTGCAGTGTGCCAGCAGAAGCCTGATCATTGGAGGAGAGCAGACTGAGTTCTCAGCACAGCTAGAGAACTGACCATGCTCTGCTCTCCTGCCTAAGGTGGTCAGTTTTTGATAGGAAAGTAGAGTGACTGGCAGGAACACCAGGGATTTCACACAAAGGAAACAATACAAAGAGAACAGGAGACTTTTTCATACAAGTAGTTGGTTCAGCAGGCACATATCAGGAATATGAAATGTTGGCTTTGCATATATTGTAAAAGCAGCAGACCAGGGTGTTCACTTGCCGTTGCTTGCCATGTCAAAAATGATCACTTCAAGCAAAAGGGGAAGCCCTGTAAATGTCCCAAAAAAGCATGCAGTGCACACGGGTTGGTGTGGCATTCACAGGGTTAAAACAGGAGTCCAGGAGGCATCATACTGCCTCTTTGCTAGCTTTCAAACAGCTCTGAAAAGTGATCTGACTGCAGATCGCTTTTCAGAGGAGCAGCTGTTTAGTCTAAATTTCTCCTAACACCCAGACAGATCTCTGATAGCTATTTACAAGACAGTTAAACAGATTCTGTTCCTGATCTTTTCCGTGTTTAAGAGAAACCTACTTCTAAAGTACCTTCAGAAATCGACACCTCCAGAAGTGTCAGTTCCCTGGTTTCTTGCTGCACTTTGTGGTTTCTCCTGCCAGCCCTAACATTTGTACACTACACAATATGGGATGTAGACTGGTGGATCATACTGCTGAGTGCAGCATGGGACCAAAAATTCAACATTCTGGGAACAGTCTAAGGGTATATGTACAGGACCAGACAGCATATGTTTGGGTGTAATTCTCTGCTCAGAAGTCACAGTACAACTCGCTGCCAGCATCCTGCCAAAATCAATGACAAGCTGAAATATGCCGTGGTTTTACTTTGATATTTGCACATCCAAGCGGTACATGCATACAAAGACATGCACATGAGTTGAGATCACTGCTTGGAGGGAGGAGCAATGCAACTTGAGAATTTGCAGGCAGGGGTGAGCATGATGAGCTGAGCTGCTGAGATGAATTGCTCCATAAAGCTTGCAGCTACAGAGGTCAGTGAGTCAACTATGTACACAGTTGTATTCCATAGCTTGGCCACAAGCTCACTTTAAAGCAGAGCTCCACCCAAAAGGGGAAGTTCCGCTTTAAGCCTTTGTCCTCCACTCCCCATTAAGGATTGGCACCTTTGGGGAGCGGGTACCCGAATTTGACAGGTACTCACTCCCACTTCCGCTGCAGTCACCTAGGCGATTGGAAGCAGAAGTTGTCCCCCCTCCCCCATCCCCTCGTAGTCTTCTGGGACAGGTGACAGGTCCCAGAAGGCTATGAGGCCATTCACAAAGCGCAGTGCTTATCGCGCATGTTCAGTGGGCACCCGGCTGTGAAGCCGCAAGCTGTCACAGCTGGGTGCCCTCACTGAAGATGCCAGAACCGGGGAGAGAAGACAGCTGGTGAAACCAACCATGAGGACACCTCTGGACCGAGGGACAGGTAAGTATCTGTATTTTAAAAGTCAGTAGCTACAGTTTTTGTAGCTGTTGACGTTTATTTATTTTTTTCAGCTGGAACTCCGCTTTAATGTCTCTGACAACATTTTTACACCAAATAATAATATTCAGGTCGCAGGGAACCCCTGCTAAGATTAGTCCATTGGGGATCATCAGGAAAATGCCCCTTACAGTGGTTGGGTCAGTGGGAAGAATGCCCCCTTTACAGTGGTGGTCAGAATGTCACCCTTGCAATCATGCTGCATGGCATTGGACCTGGAGCTATGCAGGCACCATCACATGGGTGGTCAGTAAGCCACATCTCAAGGAACCCATAGCCACCTCAGGAGGAACCCTAGTTGAGAATGGGTGGTCTATGGCCTCCTCAAGCAAACTATTAACAATCTGACCTCCCTACTCTAATTGTTGCTAAATGGATGTGCACCCTAAATGATCTTTGCCTTTATAAATGTTGTAATTTTTTATGTGATCTAATCGATTGAAATACTTTTGACTCATGACCCTCTGTGACTCATTCCCTCCTGGTTAACCTCCACTATTGAATCCCTTCATACAAGGCACAGTGTAGCTACCGACCACAGAGCTGACTCAGCGAGAAGTATGTGATATAGAATCGGCTGTTTTACATTATTTCATGCTTTGTCATATCATAAGGTTGTCATAGCTTGACTGAGTCAGTTTTTCACCCTTAGGCTACTTGGTCGCATGACAGGTGGCACAAATGTGAATGGAGCCTAAATGTCATTTCTAAAGTCATCTTCGGTCTTTTGAATTTAGCAGCTTTCATTCAAATAATATCTGGCGATCCTGCCTTTAAGGTCCTTGTTCAGGGTGACAACTCTCTGCCCCTCTTTTTCAATTATGCTTTTGTGTTGTCACACTTTCTGCTGATGGTGAAGTGGCAGTTTCATGCATGAGCTGCTTTAGTCACCATTAGGAAACCTGCCCTGAGAAGTGTCATGCAGTCATTACCGAAGTGCATGTAGACAGAAAGTGGCTGCAAAGAGGCCGCAGGAGATCAGCAACACTGAGATTCAGCAGAGGATTAAAACAGTGAAAACAAGTACTTGATTTCTTTTTTAAATGGCAACACATAGTGCTTTAGCAAACTGAATGTCATTACGTTTGGGTTAACATCTATTTTAACCTCCGGAAGGTTTTACCCCCTTCATGACCAGGTCATTTTTTGCTATTCGGCACTGCACTTCTTTAACTAGTAATTGCACGGTCATGCAGTGCTGTACCCAAACAAAATTTATATAATTTTTTTCACACAAGTAGAGTTTTCTTTTGGTTGTATTTGACCACCACTGGGTTTTTTATTTATTGTGATATAAATGAAACTGACAATTTTGGAAAAAAAAAAAACTTTTTTTTACTTTCTTCTATAAAACATATCCAAAAAAAATTAAAATAAAATTTCTTCATAAATTTTGGCCAAAACGTATTCTGCTACGTGTCTTTGATAAACAACATTCCCAATAAGTGTGTATTGATTTTTATTTATTTTTGAACTAGTAATGGTGACAATCATGGAATTATAAGAGGACTGCGATACTGCGGCCGGCAATCTGACACTGGGGGGAACTAACTAACTGCCACTGACATCACCAGTGACATTAATACAGTGATCAGTGCTAATAATATGCACTGTCACTGTACTAATAACACTGGGAAGGAAGGGGTTAACATATAGGGTGATCAAGGGGTTAAAAGTGTGCCTAACTATGTGTAATATGTACTGCTTTTACCAAGGATCCAGTACAGAGAGGCTGCTTTGTACTAGTACGTTAGGCAGTCGGCAAGTGATTATTAAAGAAAGCTGAACATAAAAAATAATATATAATATATTTTTTTATTAATCACTTATATATTTTTAATTTTTAATTTTGTTTATTATTATTTTTATTATTTTTTTTTTTGTTTTTTTTTATGAATGGGGTGACCTGTCTTAGGGTAAAAACTCTATATATATATTGCTAATAGTATATTATACTGGTTGCTCTACAATATTTTTGAATTCTTGAATTTCTGTGAAAACCCTTTGATTATTTTTGGAAATGTTAATGTTGATGTTATAGTATTATTTGTTAAATTGATATTGTTTTTTTTTTCTTTCTTTCTGCTTTGATGTTTAAATTGATGTTTTGTTCTCTTGTTCTTTTTTTTTTCTTTCTTTTTTTCTATTTACTTGTTATGAAAACTTTAAAACAAAATCTGAAATTAAAAAAAAAAAAAAGTGCTTTCAAAAGTCAAGTTCACTAACTTTTGAACTTTAGGCTTTAACGCCTATATGAGATTTTTTTGATTGGATTTACATTTACTTCAATCAGCTTCTGCCGTAATACTATCCAGAATCCATCAATGTACAGGCCAAGTGATGACTGTTCATATATTCACAGGTCAGCGGTCCTTTGGTGTGATTGTGGAATCAGAAAACGTCGATGTCAGCCAAATGGAGTTTGGAGGTATTGTTCATTTGTACCATAATATACACTAAAATCTCTATTAGTTGGCAGTTGCATTCTCAATGAACAGTAGTAATTAAATGTGCATATCACTTACAGGAAATTGCAGTGCTTCTATTTGGTGATCTAGGTTCAGTCCTAGACAATCAGATCAGGACTACTAGGTTCTGGCAGCTGCCAGAAGAGAGGGTGTGTACAAGCAGGCTGTGGGCTTTTGATGCTTCCTGCTGATTAGGAACTGTAGCTCTGACTCAGGTGAGTGTGTTGGTCCTTTGCAGAGAGACCACTGCTTCCACATGGAAGGCAAAGATCTTTCTGTACAGAATGCTTTTCTACTCAAGCTGAGGCTGCTATCTAATGAAAATAAGTGTAACGGACCATTCACACCATTGTGTTAGAAAATATACATGTACACATGTTAGAAAAACACACAAAACATAATATGGGGTTTATTCATAAAAAATGTGTTGGAAGAATATATCACAAGCATTTGACCAATCATCTTGAATTGTGACTGTATTTTTGTTATTATTTTGATTTCCTATACTCATCAGTGCTATCTAGTGGCCATAATACAATTTTTTTCCCAGATCTACTTCAATCAGGAAAATACCATGTCATGGCCACTAGATGGAATGGAAGAGCATAAGAAATAGCACATATTATCCAGAATTCATGATGGCTGAGCAAATTCATGTGACATTCATCCAACAAATTTTATATTGGGGGTTGGGTCTGTGTATTTTAGAAAAAAGGACGCATGGCTTGAAAAACACACTAATGGAAACGTAGATTGTGTTTTTAATGTGTTTACAATGAGGTGCTATTGACTATAATGTAATGTTTTTTTTTTTTTACCAAAATGCCCAAATAATATGGCAAGCAGGATTTTTCAGAAATGCAATGCATTGCCCTCTAACACAATAAAATAATGTGAAGTGCATCATTGGTTGTAATGCTTATTATTTTTCACAAGCTTTTAGTGCTCATGCGTGTGGATGCCTTTGCCCATACAGTGTAAAAAGCGGGTGTATTTTGGTACCCAAGAGTCACAGGTAGCATGAACAACCCACTGCCTCAGCCTGTCAAAGTCAATGACATGCTCAAATACGCACTGGCTGTGGGCAGCTGTACGCACATTCGAGCAGTACTTAAGCACAGGGCATGTGTGTATTGGGACATATCCCCCAGAACTTAGAAAATCTGTGTTCAGGGCTCACAACCCTGTACACATACAGTTTTCTGTATGCAAGTACATGAGCTCTTACTGCACTGTAATGAGGGCTCCTGTGTTGTAGTTTCTATAAAAAGCGATGGTGTTAATGAGCCCCTTGACTTTGCACATGCAGAATACTAAAAGTACAGCTCCAGTTCGGTGCACATTACATAAGGTAGTTACATAGCTGTTAAGGTTTAATAAAGACACCAGTCCATCCAGTTCAACCTGTGTGGGTGTGTGTATGTATTTATGACTCTACCACTTCCCATATTCCTGTATATTGTATCATACAAGTTTTTTTTAATTATCGGCGCTGCCTGCTGACACCACCGATTGTGGAAGGGAGTTCCACATCCTTCCATTCTAACAGTAAAGAACCCCCTACGCAGTTTAAATTTAAACCGCTTCTTGTCCAACTTCAATGAGTGACCACGTGCCCTCTTGAGCGACCTGAGACTGAATAGTTTCCTCCCTATGTTAGATTCACCATTTAGATATTTATATATTGCGATCATATGTCCTCTTAATTGTTTCTTTTCCAGGGAAAACAAGCCTAACGTGTAGCATTTCTTCATAACTGAGGTCGTCCAGCCACTTTACTAGATTTGTCTTGATTTCTTCAGCGGTGGTCCCCTAGTGTGTGGCTTTTGTTCATATTTTTAGTCCTTAAGTGCATTACTTTACATTTTCTTACATTGAACTCCATTTGCTTTGAATTTGCCTACATGTCTATTTTATCTAGGTCTTCTTGTAAAGGTTCTATATCCTGTTGTGAAGTTATTGTCCTGATTAGAAAACACTGAGATTGAACTATTTATACCAACCTCTATATAGTTTATGAACAAGTTAAACAGAATTGATCCTAGGACAAAGCCCTGGGGCACATCACTCACAACTCCAGACCAATCAGAAGATACGCTATTTATCACCACCCTTGATGCATCCCTGTAACCAATTTTATATTAATTTGCCCTCTAAGATCTTGTCCTCATCCAGTTTGTCACTGGCAACTTCTATATATTCGATAAATTGATGATGCCACATTTGAAAAGCCATGCAGCTATTTTGTTACATTTTCAAAACACGGCAGAACAGGATACACAGGATACTTATTCCTGTTCTGCCATGTTTAAAGTGTTCATAAAGATTATCACCGAGCCTGTGCTCGGAAATGGGCCTGCTTAGAGACACTGTCTGGGCTGGGCTCCTGCTACTTACTTTCTTTATAACCAAAGTCTTCCAGCCACTTTATTAGTGCTCAGTATCTGCTCAGCTGTCAGTTAATTACCAGCCACCCGTTGTCTCCATAGTGACTCACCTGGATACCATTACTTGCCTTATTAGTCCAGCCTACAGCCAGCCCTTTTTGCTTTTTTAGCAGCATAACTCATTTTCTCCTTGCCCTTACGTGGTGTATGATCTCCAGTGTGTTCCTGCCTGTATTTCTGTGTACAACCTGGTCTGGCTGACTTCTTTTCTAGTTCCTGTTCCTGATATTTGCTTCTGACTATGCTGATTTCTGGTTTCCTGACCCTGACTTGTACCTGCTCTGGCATCCAAACCCTGGCTTCTGTTTTTTTACTATATTCCTGAACTGTGTTGTTTTTGCTATTTCATTAGAGTTGTGATTTTAACTGCACTTTCTGTCTCCGCTGGTTTGTGGTTCATGACAAACACCCTCTCTCCCTCACCTACGTCCTGCTCTCCCAACCACAGGAGCATTAAAGTTTCCTTTTCTCTCCCAATTGGAACAGGACCTCCGAGCATCTTTCATCCCTCCCTAGCCAAAAGCTACTCCACTTCTCCCTAAAATCCTCTACATGTTTTAGGTTACAGGAAACCAACTATCTATCAAATCCTATCTACACATCTGTATTGCACAAATTCAACTGTTCTGATATCCCTGACACCTGTTGCCATGGTGACTCAAAAACTGACTAGTTCCTTTACATATTCTGGTCTTGCCTTAAACTGACCCCTTTTTCAACAAAAGTGTGAGATATTACTGATATTTACTGATTTTCACCCTTCCAGTCTGGCCTTCTTTTACTGCATCACTCTTCAATCCTCACCAAACATATGTGAAGTCTATTCTCCACCACCTTTTGAACGCAGCTAAATCATGCTTCCAATCAAGATGGCAAGCAAAACACTTCCCCTCTCGTGATTTCACTTTGGTAAAAAAAATCAATAAAACTTGTCATATGGAGGACCTTGTCCTTTCCTTTCAAGATAATCAGCATATCTTTTGGGAGGGCCTTGTTTTACTAGCTGGACTTCACATTTTTGGTGGAAGGCAAGACCCTCATGTTTGAAGACACTTAATACTGACACCCTCATTTGGCCTACCACTTGAGGTCCTCTCCCCTCTTCCTGTCCCCCTACCCCTCTCATTCTCCATTCCACTTTACTTTCCCTCCTTGGTGTTCCCTATGGGTCACTCCCATCTACAGTACCTCATATCGAACATTTAACTATATTATGATAAGAACAATATAGTTCCCATGCTAAACTTGTCTGCCTTTCAAATTCTTGTCTTGTACACCTTCTCATGAAGACATGTTGTACTACCCTTTTTTTGTAAACTTTTTTTACTTAAAAATGAAGAAAATGTTTATAAAAAAAGCCATGTGGATTTTCCAGTATGCCGCCATATTTTTATTGAATACTTAGACTTTGTTTTGTTTTGATGCAACTGGAATTTATTCAGTGATCTAAGTTGGACTTAAATGCCAAACCCACCAGCCATACATGCTTAGCATTATCTTTCTTTCCAAAGTTCTTGGAACCCATCTCACAAATCTTTGAGTAATAAAAACCCAGTGGCAGAATTATTATATTCATGAGCTGAATGAAGACACGATTAATTTAAATTTTATTATATCTCAATAGTGTAAGCTTTTGCTAATATCGAAAGAATATATCCTAAAATGAATAAAAAGCAATACGTAGAATAGACAACTTTATAGACAGTCCTGTGCCTGAAAACATTGCCTAATTCGTGTCTTCATCCAAGAAATAATTATCTGGAATATATTTTATTAGTGAGCCGTCATTGTGATGAATAGTTGGCAGTTTTACTAGGCTTTCCAGCAGCCACAGACATTGTCCAGCCATTTCATTTGGCTTGCAGTGTGTGGGTCTGGCTTCCAGGAACACTGCGGGCCGATGGTGTACGTCTGGGTAAAAAACAACACTGACATTTGGAAAACCTGTCAGTTTAATAAGCCAGCATATTCACTCACTAATCAATACTTTCAATCACTCTTATTTGCTAAGTGCTTCAATTACTTAATGTTAAAGAGGCCTTGGAATTTACTGGATTTCACATTAAATAATGTTACACCTATGCAACGTATAAAAACAAGACTTCCGCTAAAAATAACTTTAAGATGTTTTCCGTAAGCTGCTGTCTTGTGAACAGCAGCATGGTAAAGAGCATGACAGCCAACTGACTATGAATCTTCTATGCCACTGGGGTCTGCATGTAGCCCTTTGGCATCTCTTGCGCGGCCCTCGGGGCCTGGCAGACACTAATCTGTGGTTCCAGATTGCTCTGTTATAGCAATGATTTCTAGCAGTCTCATGTAATGTGGCTTCAGTCTATGACTGTCTCCTGAAGCATGTCCCCAGTGTCCAACAACTCCTATGCTATGATTATTCTCTCTGTAAATCTCCTGCAGCATGTCCGTAGTCCCTGACTATGTCCTGTATCATGTCTACAGCCTTTGGCCATCTCTTGTATTATGTCCACAATCTCTGACCATCTTCTGTACTAAGT